TTTTAGTTGCCGAATAACCTCAAAAATCTTACTATTTGTCCAAGGCTTTTTTACAGCTTCCATTTGAGAATTGAATATATTTTTTAATTCACTATAATATATACCTTTAAAATCAGAATTATTTCCTAAAATGTCTTCTCCACACGATATACTTGCACTGTTTTCAGTTATTTTTGGACGTGATTGTTATTATTTTGATCAACAGTGGCGCGCGTGGTAAAAAATTGAACTAAGCATTTCAATTTGCCGCGGCATTATGAAAACGGCGTTTGAATTGTCGATGCTATGTTGTGGCATATTATAAAGTGACACGGCAGTTTACATTTTGCCTTCGGCATTTTACATAACGGCGAGCGTTTTTATAATGACGACGCCGTTTGTANGGTAAAAAATTGAACTAAGCATTTCAATTTGCCGCGGCATTATGAAAACGGCGTTTGAATTGTCGATGCTATGTTGTGGCATATTATAAAGTGACACGGCAGTTTACATTTTGCCTTCGGCATTTTACATAACGGCGAGCGTTTTTATAATGACGACGCCGTTTGTAAACGGCGGAATCATACAAATTGCCTGCGACATATACATTAGTTAGTACTGCGTAAAATGAAACGTAGGAGACTTGAAAATAAAAAATAAAAAAGACGGTAGTTATAAAAATTCAAATGTCGATAAATAACACTTTCGTCTTCCGTAAAATGACTATAACAAAAACCGTGAGATTAAACCGTAAAAGTAGTTTTAATAAACCGATATTCGAACTTCTAGTTAAAGGACTTGAAGAGTTACTTTAGTGAGAGGATCTCACAACGATCTGGTTGGCGTTTATCGAGGGATATCATGACCGTGGTCACTAGCTACTGTTCCACCATTCCCTTCACTCGCACATGTCATTTTAATTACTTACTCCCTTCCAAATTATTTCGAACCCCACATTTAAGAACTTTTCCATATTGCCTTTGGCAAACGAGCATATGGTCTACTATGATAAGTAGCCACCTAAGCTCACGAACGTCGGCAATACAAGGTGGACAGCTGAGCCGTTGCCTAAAGTTGCCCCCTACTGTTGATTTTGTGAATCATTAACCATCAACCTAGTTATATTTCTAGCTTTATTACATCTATACTAATATATAAATCTACAGTGGTTTTTACGGATGTTCCGTTATAACTACTGAACCATACAACCGATTGACTTGAAACTTGGTATCCATGTAGAAAATACATGTACTCAATGAATAGGCTAATATTTATATGAGTGTTGGACTCCCTAAACCAGTTGCGGGGGCGTTAATGATGAGAATCTTTGTGGGGCTGGGGTACAGCTATTTAGAATATAATTAAAACGTAGTTTGACAAATTTTTGCCAATCAATCTCGACTGGTAGTTCGAAAGCACAAAACGCTACTCAATTAACATCGTGTGTCCATTTGACACCATTTGAAGTCGTCGTGGCCTAACGGATAAGACGTCCGGTGCATTCGTGTTAAAGCGATGCACCGGTGTTCGAATCCCGCAGGCGGGTACCAATTTTTCTAATGAAATACGTACTCAACAAATGTTCACGATTGACTTCCACGGTGAAGGAATAACATCGTGTAATAAAAATCAAACCCGCAAAATTATAATTTGCGTAATTACTGGTGGTAGGACCTATTGTGAGTCCGCGCGGGTGGGTACCACCACCCTGCCTATTTCTGCCGTGAAGCAGTAATGCGTTTCGGTTTGAAGGGTGGGGCAGCCGTTGTAACTAACTATACTTGAGACCTTAGAACTTGTATCTCAAGGTGGGTGGCGCATTTACGTTGTGGATGTCAATGGGCTCCAGTAACCACTTAACTCCAGGTGGGCTGTGAGCTCGTCCACCGATCTAAGCAATAAAAAAAAAAAAAATCTGTACGTGTAAAACTTTGAGAACCATACGAAATTTTTGTCTACTCACATTTAGGCACACAGGTCAGTATGACCTTTTTTTTCATTTCCTTTGTACATGAATCAGAACTTAATTTATCCGTTGTTACATATCTCTTGTATCCGGCTATTACGTACAGATGTTTAACATCCGACACGCAGGCAGCGGAAGTGATCACAAACCATTTACTGATGATTGCACCCCCGCACACCCAGAAGTCGTATTGTTGCGGAGACGGTGGCGCCTTCACCAGATAAACCTTTCAAAATGAACTATTTTCAGTATCATATATCGGTAAAAATTCATGTTGACATTATTTAAATTTTGGGAGAAACGTCTCATCGATTTTCATCCTTGACAAGATCGAGAGACTGTTTAGGAAAATATAGTTAAAGACCTGAAGCGGTTCCAAATAATCGCAATCGTTTTGAAGCATTTGGTACAGCGTGCAGTGTAGTAAAGCAAAAGCACCTTATTCGCGTATTCACTATTTGCGGTATTAAAAAAATGCGATCCAATGTGTTCACAAAATGTTCACGGCTAAAGATTTTATTATTCGCGGATCTAATTGGTACATACACATTGATATAAAAGACTCCAATATGTAGGTATCCAACCAACCGAGTCCAAATCCTTTCTAGGCGCACTTTTCCATATTCAGGGTTTCTGTATTCAAGGCATATTTTGCGGAACGCCCCGTGAATGAAGAGCTTTTACTGTACCATGAAATACTCGTGCGCTGCTTCCACTATAAACATAGCGTAGCTTAGCGTGCGCTGCCTCCACTATAAACATAGCGTAGCTTAGCTTAGCAATTTAATATTACGTGTAAATTAAGGTCGCGTTAGAGCCGGTTCAATTGTTATGCATCTTATAGAGATAGTGGTGGTAAGATATAAGTTTCGAACTAATGAAACCACGTGTTTATCTGTAAATAACGTTAATATACGTTCATTTCAAAGAACACTTACAGCATACGGTTTATCAGAATCTATAGTATTTCCGCCCCTTATTCTTCGCTCAGAAACAGAACCTGAAATTTAAATTTACTGTCACTACAAGTAATTACCTTTAAGACGTTAACAAATTTAACTAATACGAAGACATTTTGTGGGAAATTTTCAGAATTGAGGACGGATTAGAATACGGAGAACTATTGTCTTCTTTCTCATCTTTGTTGACACTTTGTCAGTAGAAAAAAAAATATTGTTCAAAATATCAATTGTTTCAATTCATATTGACTCGCTAGTCAGCGTTAATTGGGTCAGAAACGAACCGAATTCCTTAGAATTAAATACAAATACAAACCTTTTTATTAGAATATCTTAACTATGGAATTGACTTCTACATACCGCCCGCCACCTGAGTAGAGTTCATCCATACTACCTGGATCCACTACGTTCATCCACAGTGCGTTTCCAGAGATCCTTTTTGCCACGTACCATCTGCCTATGGAATGAGCTCCCCTCCACGGTGTTTCCCGAGCGCTATGACATGTCCTTCTTCAAACGAGGCTTGTGGAGAGTATTAAACGGTAGGCAGCGGCTTGGCTCTGCCCCTGGCATTGCTGACGTCCACGAGCGACGGTAATCACTCAACATCAGGTGGGCCGTATGCTCGTCTGCCTATATGGCAATAAAGAAAAAAAAATGGTTCCGTTATTTTTAGTTGCGTAAGTGTTTGGATGACCCCAAGGTCTTGATTAAGTGATTAAATCAGCACAAAGTCTCAATCGGCTTTTTCACATTTCAAACCGGAACGCGACGTGCTTTGCGAGAAAACATTTGAAATCCCCAACGACTGTCGCTAAATAATATATACATATAAAAACTACTTGTACCCAACGTGTCGTGCGTTGATTCTACAAAGCCGTACCTTCCAATAACAACTAAAATCGATCGGATATCGACACCTGGAGGCGTAGAGCACGAACAAACAAACCTACGTCAATTTTATTGGAAGGTAGATCTAAATAATATAGTTTAATGTTGGTAGGTACGTACCCGCAAGTTTGTCTTTGACTAATTGAAGTTGAATAGTCTATGGGTTTCGGTAGCCGGTATATCATCAGCCGGCATATTCATCATCGTCATCATCATTATCAGTCACTCACTGCTGGATAAGGGCCTCTCCCAATCCATACCACTGAGCCTGATCCTCGAGTCTCCTCATCCTCCTCCTGCCGACCAGTTTGGGAATCATCGCACCACCTAGCCAGTGTGCTTAGTGAGAGTTTCTTAACGTTCCCGATAGCGTAAAAGTTCACTCAAATTTCTACGGAGTCGGACCATTTGCCTACGTTCGCCGCTAGGGGCGCTGTTCCGACTGTATACAAATTTTAGTTAACTTTTACGTTATCGAGAACGTTTAAATACTCGCACTAAGCAAGCGTCCCGATGCGCCCGTTACGTTTTTCATTGCGCGGTCTGCATATTTGACAACGATAAATAATTAAAACTCACATTTCATAGATATTACGAACCAAACAAATAATACACAGTCAAAATGTGATAACATAATTTTAAGAAGTCGTTTAGGTATTTTGTGTTATTACAAAATTTATTTGAAAAAAGTATACAATCAATCAATCTCATTTTATGCTTCGACGCGAATCAATTAACTGTAGGCTTACTGATATTTCAATCTTCAAATAATAGCAAATTAAATTTGCTGGTAGAAATACGTTGTTCAATTTTATTTCATCACTGCTTGTGCTTTTTTTGTTTTTGTTAAAATACAATATTTTACTGTACAGGAGATGTATGGAAATGGTAGTGCAAGGTAGAGGGGGAAGAGGTCGACCGAAGAAGACATGGATGGAGTGTGTCAATGACGAAATGAGAGAGAGAGGAGTGAGTGTCGAGATGACGGCTGATAGAAGAGAGTGGAAGAGAAAAATTAGCTGTGCCGACCCCACCTAGTGGGATAAGGTGGAGAAAGGGAAGACAATATTTTACTGTGGGTTTTTAAATTAACTGCGCATGCGTTAAGCAATGACGCAATTCGCATACAACGTGGAAAGATAAAACATATTTTATCGACACTCAGATAAAACTGTTGATAAAATCCAAGAAGTGCTCAGTCGAAAATGTCTATAATTATTTACCAAACATCAGTCAGTCCGCCGGCCAGGTCTGCACTTATGGTCGTAAACATTCTCGGTATCAAAGTGGAAACAAGAGAAGTGAATTTACCAAGAAGAGATCACTATTCGCAGGAATATTTAGAGAAGAACCCTCTACATACAGTACCGATTCTTGAAGAAGATGATCTGGTGATTGCCGACAGCCACGCTATCATAACGTATTTAGTATCGAAATATGGTGAGGAAAAACACGAAAGCATGTACCCTAAGGACTTGAAAATACGAGCGATAATCGACCAAATGCTGTACTTCGATGCGACCATTCTATTCCCCAGATTGAAAACTGTGATATATAGTGTCGTGAGGGGACAAGGTATATCGCGAGAACAAACTGCAGATATCCAGGAAGCGTACGATGTTTTAGAAATATATTTGAGTAAAAACATTTTTGTGGCTGGCAATGAATTCACGGTTGCCGACATTTCGTGTATTGCTACTCTATCGTCGCTAGACTGTGTGTTGCCAGTCGATAAAAAACACGTAAATGTTAACAGATGGTGGGCTACATTAAACAAAGAAAAATGGTATAAAGAAGTTAATGTACCAGGTCTAGAGTTATTTAGAAGTTTTATTAAACAATTCTTGAACTAATAAAACAAACTTATTTTTATAATATTGAATTGCTTTCCTGTCTTAATTAGTTTCTAAAGACCATAATTTTTTACTTTTTTTTATTGCTTAGATGGGTGGACGAGCTCACAGCCCACCTGGTGTTAAGTGGTTACTGGAGCCCATAGACATCTGCAATGTAAATGCGCCACCCACCTTGAGATATAAGTTCTAAGGTCTCAGTATAGTTACAACGGCTGCCCCACCCTTCAAACCGAAACGCATTACTGCTTCACGGCAGAAATAGGCAGGGCGGTGGTACCTACCCGCGCGGACTCACAAGAGGTTCTACCACGAGTGATTACGCAAATTATAATTTTGCGGGTTTTTTACTTTTATTACACGATGTTATTCCTTCACCGTGGAAGTCAATCGTGAACATTTGTTAAGTACGTATTTCATTAGAAAAATTGGTACCCACCTGCGGGATTCGAACACCGGTGCATCGCAACAACGAATACACCGGACGTCTTATCCTTTAGGCCACGACGACTTCAAATTACCTTATCGCTGTCATAGTCACACTTTTTTTTTTTTTTTTTTATTGCTTAGATGGGTGGACGAGCTCACAGCCCACCTGGTGTTAAGTGGTTACTGGAGCCCATAGACATCTACAATGTAAATGCGCCACCCACCTTGAGATATAAGTTCTAAGGTCTCAGTATAGTTACAACGGCTGCCCCACCCTTCAAACCGAAACGCATTACTCCTTCACAGCATAAATAGGCAGGGCGGTGGTACCTACCCGCGCGGACTCACAAGAGGTCCTACCACCAGTAAAACATTGGCTTGAGCAATGGGTACAATCAAACCGCTTATCATAGCTGACAGCTCTCAAGCCTTCTTTGAAGATCATATCCGTGGGTGCAAGGCTATTTGGTTAAAGCGACATTTTTGCAACTTTACAGGAGACATATCTAAAGTTTAAAAATTGGAAAAATACCATGAATGACAAAAAAAACTTCATCTGTTTGAATGGGGTAAACTTAATTGAAGTTCAATTTAAAACATTAAATTTTTTATGGTAAAAATACCAAATAAAACGGACCTTTAATTACAAAGACAAATGTCGCCTATTAATCGCCTTAATGAAGTCGTCGTGGCCTAAAAGATAAGATGTTCGGTGCGTATCTTGCGATGGATCGGTGTTCGAGTCCCGCCGGCGGACACCAATATTTCTAATCAAATACGTACATAACAAATGCTCACAATTGACTTCTACGGTGAAGGAATAACATCGTGTAATAAAAATCAAACCCGCAAAATTATAATTTGCGTAATTACTGTTGGTAGGACCTCTTGTGAGTCCGCATGGGTAGGTACCACCACCCCGCCTATTTCTGCCGTGAAGCAGTAATGCGTTTCGGTTTGAAGGGTGGGGTAGCCGTTGCAACTATACTGAGACCTTAGAACTCATATCTCTAGGTGGGTGACGGCATTTACGTTGTAGATATCTATGGGCTCCAGTAACCACTTAAAACCAGGTGGGCTGTATATGATATAATTTCTGGAAAGGCACTTCTTATGAACGAGCGTGACCAGTACCGATGAACTTTGCTTGCGTGTTATGGGTTCCGATCGCCGCTGCTCGTGAACATCAGCGACCTCGGAGGCGTAAATCACCAAGCTGTTCACGACCATTGAACATTTCACCGTATTTTGAAAAGAAAACGTCATAAGACTCGAGCAATAAATACCATGAGATGTTTACTGTGGACAAAGACAACTTGTTCGATTGATCGAGATCGTGTCAAACAGTAATGAGCGATTTAGTGGGCAACTTCATTTCTGTTAATTTTGTGTCACGGTGCGCGCGCATCGTAAAATTTCACTCTCATCAATTTTCCATAACGCGCCTAAAGAAGTATAGCTTCAAAAACGCAAGATACTTGACAGATGCCTGAATCTCGCTTACGACATTTTCAAGATAAGCTTGCATGTATACAAGTTCCGAACAACAGCAAAGGGACCGTCGGTCTACCGAGCAACATCACCCGCTCGGTGGAAGATCTTTCCTCCGTCGTTTAAGCGTCCCAAAGAGAGATGTTTATTGTGGACAAAGACAATTGATTCAACTGATCGAGATCATTTTAAGCAATTACTTTTGGATCTCAATTTAGACGGCGTCTATGACGTCACCGATTACGTCAAATCTTTATTGGAAATATCTATGCTGAAAATTGAACATTAACATACATATCTTTTGACGGTAGACAGCGGTTTGGCTCTGCCCCTGACTTTGCTGAAGTCCACGGGCGACGGTAACCACTTACTATAAGGCGGGCTGTATGCTCATCTGCCTACAAGGGCAATAATTTTTATTTTTTGTTATCTGGAAATGGTCATTTAAAATAAGAATAAATCGATCTATATACGAATTTATTTACAAGTTCTTTTTTATTTGTTTTTGTAATGTGTGTAACAATATCATATACATATATATATTTATTTATCTTATAACAAATATTTGAAAAATATTTTTAATGGTGTGTGTCCATACTTATTTTTATACAAATTAAAAAAAAACCAGCTAACCGTTACTATCATACTTAAAATTACTTTGTTTTGATGTTGATATGAAAAATAAACTTTATGCCGCCCGTTTTAGAACTCACTTTTCTCCACATACATATTCTTGAATTAAGGTTGTTTTTTTTAAATTGCAAAATAACACTTTCATATTTTATTATACAAAAAAAACAGGCCCTGCGAATCTACATTAGTGAGAATCGTTGCACTCCACAAGTGCGTGATCCATCGCAATGAATCTGGACAATGAGCAAGAATATATATTTTTTAAACATCAACATCACAACAATTTATACACTAAATATTCAACCTTTACAAAATTTACATACGACGTTATTTTTTTTTAACAGTACAGTAGTTCACTTAAAAAATATTTTACAAAAAAAAAAAAACTAACACCTTAAAAGAGTATAAAAAAATTATGGAATCTTTTACAAAAAAAAAAAACATTTTTTATCATTACTTTATATCGACAACACTTTCTCTTATGAAAATATATTTTTTTTGTTTCGTTAATATAATATGTAATTCGTGAGTAAACAATGTTTATCATAAAAAGACGTAGGTAATAATATTACAAAGTTAATATTTAAAAAAATAGATGTGTCTCGTTAAAATTAACTTTTATTCTTTATTTTATTATTGGGGGTCTATTTTACGGTACTAGATATATTTTATATTAATATTTGTTTTATGTCAATAACAAGATGTCTATTGTAATTTTTCACAAGCATAACGGCGCGATAATCATTTATTTATTATCATTTAAAATGTATTTGTTTATTTAATGCAACAAAACAAAAAAAACGTACTTACAAATTACTTACTAGCGCTTACTTAGATTATTAAAAATCGGAGCACACTCGATAATCATAAATGAAGAGTAAATTTATTTTCTGATCGAATAAAAATTTCTGGGTTTTGATGAATAAACAGGCAATTTTAGAGAGCTATCTTTTTAAAGGAAACAGATTTTTTTTATTTAGTTTTTAAATTACCATTTCAATATCAGTCGACGATGTGTGAAGGACGAAATAGTTTTAGTAGAGACAAAAATTAACACAAAACAAATTAGCTTTAATTAAACCAAAGTCATAAATCATGTATTAACATTAAAATTTTAATTGTCAAAGTGGTGTATCATTCATCGATGGGGATATTACGAAATTTCATAAAATTGTATTGAAACCGCTCGCTGGCAAGTTCTCGGCGCACTTGACGATAGCTGTTCCCGTCGCTAAGGGCAATTTTTTTTTTTTGGACTTGTTACATGAAAGTTGATGATGTGGCCTAAGCGAAGACAAATTGAAGCCTTTTAACTTGCAGCCATGTGAGCTGTTGTCGAATTATTGTAAGATAACGCACGATTAGTTTTATGCCGTGATTGATCTGATATGATATATTATGAATTATATTAAGATAATATATTATAAGATTTAATAAGTAAACGCTATTCCGTCATTTTCTTGTAACGTTCTGTAATAAACGTATTTCATACACAGATAATTAATTAGTTGAATGAGAAAAAAACAATAATTTTTTAAACTAATCTACAAAGAATAATAACCTCTTTGTTATGAAAAAATCTAAAGCAAGTACCGTAAAATGGGGGAAATCGGGACACTAAGTTCGACATTGATTTTTTATCGTTTTTTTTTTTTTTGTAGTTATTATTATAGTAATAAAACGGAGATCATAATGGTTCCGGTAGTTTAAATTTTCATTTATAATGCATTAAGATATAGTTTATTAAAGAATAATTATAAAAAGTTACAAAAACTCACTTGTCCCTATTCACACAAGCGTTGGGGGTGAATCAGGTCGCTTAATCGGGTAGTTTTTCGATAGGGTTGGCACTATTTAGTTGTTAGGTAGGTACCTAATTTTAGGTAATTAGCTTTTTAATATATTTAATGAGTTACAAAACTTTGATGACTAAATTAAGCTATTTAATATTCTTAAACACTAAATAAAAGTCATTTTCAGTTCAACAAAGTTAAATCTAACAGCTTAACAAAAGTATTGTGACATCCCAGATTTTTCCCTATTCCCCCCAATCTACTGTAGTAACTTAATCATAATCGCAGTCGAGTACAAAAATATGTAAATGTTAATATTAAAATCATTCACGGAAACACCAAAAGATGGCGCTATCATTAAATTTAGATTTATTTTTTTGAATAAGTTAAAAATAGGACCCTACTATTTCGGCAATACACTGAAAGTTTCGAAACTATTACCTCGAAGTTATAGAGCGTTATTTTTCAACAAACGAATATTATTCAGCACGCCAACATCTCAATGCGAGTTTTACATGCAACTTTATAAGTCGTCAGTCTGGCTTTGTATGTACTGTATATTTTTTAGACTTAACGGGAACATTACATCGACTTAGGTGAATAATCATAATTAAAATCGAACGATGAACATAATTGTTTGGACAGCTCTAGGCTCGATCGACGAAATTAATCGATATCCATTGTAAAGTACGTAAATTAGAGTATCGATAACGCGTCACTAGTCGTGAGTGCATATACAGGGTGTGTCGAAACAATTCCGGAAAACAAAGTCAAGGCGACGTGCACTAAAACACAGTATTCTGATACTAAAAGTGACGTGCGATATAATTTTTTTCTAACTAAAAATGTACGGCATTTTGGGGGAGCTCTGGAGCCATAATAAAAAAAAATACATAAATTTTCCACAGAATACAAGGTGATTATCAGAGCTTTATAGACCCGTTATAACAAGACCGTTAAGTGTATTTATAAAATCGATCGCCATTTGTATGACGATGCGTTACTTGGGTACGGTACGACAGATTGGACTGTTTTTTTTTTTCGTTTTTTGATAATTGTCAGGAAGAGGTAGCGATATCGGCAACTAACAGTTCATATAAGAAATAAACTAGACTATCTGCTCGACACTTTTGGACATTCTTCTTATACAAGGACTTATAAAGCTTCTCACGAATACCGTGAGTATTTCTGCTCTATTTGGAATCTGAATAGTTATTACGGCAATTTTAACCAGTTTATTCTCCTTTGGACACAAGGAACTGCTCCAATACAGCCGGTATTTTATTATCTCAGCAACAAAACTTAAAAACGTCATGTTATTTTTTTAGTTCAACAAGCAAATGAGAATGGGATCCGGGTGAATTTAATACGAACACGCGTCCGATATTAGTAATCTTAAGGACAAAATTACGTCACTTACATCGTAGTGATACAGGAAAAAGCTAAACGAGAATTTAACGCTTTACCGTTGACAGCTTCGCTTGTAGAGTGAATTAATTACTGAAAACGCTCAATAGGTGGCGCTGAAATCAAAATTTTAGCACTATTGAAAGAAGTTACAAAATAAATGGTACAGCAAAGACTAAGTTTCACCGATGATTCTGGTTCGCTGTCTGCGCTCGGCGGCAAGTCGTAGCTATACTCCTGAAGCACTCCTCGCAGACGCGCACCGGCTTCAGCTGTCCGTAGCGAGGTAATGGTATCGAGTTAGAACTACAGGACGCGCAGAACACTTTACCTGCGTTTAAAATAACGTTTATCTTGACGTATAACGAATGAAAATAACGTATTCGTACGAAAGAGAGAGAGAGAGAGAGAGAGGAGTACGCTTTATTGTACACAAAATAAATAAGAATGCAAAACATTGGATATAAAAAGTACAATGTACATATCTGTATTTTTTTATTGCTTAGATGAGTGGATGAGCTCACAGTCCACCTGGTGTTAAGTGGTTACTGGAGCCCATAGACATCTACAACGTAAATGCGCCACGCACCTTCAGATATAAGTTCTAAGGTCTCAAGTATAGTTACAATGGTTGCCCCACCCTTCAAGCCGAAACGCATTACTGCTTCAAGGCAGAAGGGTGGTGGTACCTACCCGCGCGGACTCACAAGAGGTCCTACCACCGGTCAATGTTCGTACGTACCACAGTTCCTACAGTGATGTCTTCTTCTAAAAGCGGTAAAGTGCGCGTCGCACCGCATGCAGGCGGGCGCCGCTATGTCTGGGACCCACTCCGGAGCTCGCTCCACGCTGGCGTTCGCTTCACTAGCCACGCTCGCAGTGGGACGGCGTTCTTCCCTGAAAAATAACAACATAGATTACAGTAGATCGGCGAGAATAGAGACTAGAGTTAGAATAGGGACGAAGCTGGGATGTCACGATACCCTTATTGAGTTGTTAGATTTAACTTTATCTTTTATTTTTATTTTATTTAATATATTTTGTACACAGCTGTTAAAAACAACAATAAGGATACAGAGTACAAGGGAACTACTTAATTAATGTTGAAATTTCTTCCAGTAGGCCCGCAAATGGAAAGAAGAATTAGGAACACAACTTTGTCGAACTGAAAATGACTTTTATTTATTGTTAAAGAATATTAAATAGTTTAATTTGTTTATCAAAGTTTCGTAACTCATTAAAGATATTAAAAAGTTGATTACCTAAAGTTAGGTTAACCTACCTAACAACTAAATAGTGCCAGCCCTATCGAAAAACTCTATTGTCCTCCAGAACATATTAATCTCAATTTTATAAAACCATTGAAAATTTGTGTTAGATTTGGAAAGGGTCCCGATTCCCCCCAATCTACGGTACTATATTTAGAACTATAAGTTAACTATTACATTGCCATAATAAAACATTCGATACAGTATTAGAGTACCTTTGTCGAGGAAGCCGATAGTGGTTTTTTTTTTGTATTGTCAAAATTTAATCAGTTATAAAATATTCTCATTTGAATGTGAAATGGTTCATGCTGACATGCCAGCCACGTAATGGCTTGGAAAAAATGAATTAGCTCTGAGATCGAACCACAACACGCTTCTTTCTTTTTCTTTTTTTTTTTTTGTTGCATAGATGTTTGGACGAGCTCACAGCCCACCCTTGAAATATGAGTTCTAAGGTCTCAGTTCAGTTACATTACTCAGTATAGTTAGTAGTATGGATACAACCCAATTTGAGGGCATATTTTACTGGTGGTAGGACCTGTTGTGAGTCCGCGCGGCTAGGTACCACCACCCTGCCAACTTCTGCCGTGAAGCAGTAATGCGTTTCGGTTTGAAGGGTGAAGCAGCCGTTGTAACTATACTGAGACCTTAGAACTTATATTTCAAGGTGGGTGGCGCATTTACGGTTGTAGACGTCTATGGGCTCCGGTAACCACTTAACACCAGGTGGGCTGTGAGCTCGTCCACCCATGAACGCAATAAAAAATAAATAAAAAATGAACCGACCTGTACGTCAAATCACCAGTAGATACGGAGGCCTGCAAATTGACGTTGTCCATGGACTTCCTTCTCGTTTCCCCGGCCGGGTCCGCCGCGGTGCCGCTCACGGTCTCGCGTTGGATCATTCTCGAACTGCTATCGGACTGCGTCGAATCGGATGTACTGTCCGCGTACACCTCCTCCGCTGAGTACACACTATCGAACGAACTGTCTGTAATCGAAACAATTTCTGGACTTTAATCAAAAGCTTCGACTTTAAGACCTTAATAAGGTCCGTCGTACGGTATGAATCGGCTAGTTGGACCACTAATGTGGTAGATGCGAATGTTGCGATGGATGTGTGGAGTAACGAGAATGGGTAGAATACGGAATGAATATGTTAGAGGAAGTCTGAAAGTGGCACCTATGACAGAGAAGCTGAGAAGTGCGCGTTTGGGATGGTATCGACATGTGATGAGACGAAATGACAATGAGGTCGGTAAGAGAACTTTGAAGAGGTAGACAGAAGAAAAAATGGATGGATTACGTGAAAGACAATATGTCTAAAAGGGGAGTGAGCGAAGCAATGGTATATGATAGAGGAGTATGGAAGGAGAAAACATGTTGCGCCGACCCCAGGTTACTGGGAGAAGGGCAGGATAGTGATGATGATGAGTCAAGAGCTTGACTATTATATTTTAGCTCTGAATCTACGCCTGAAGCGTACACTTCGTAATCCGAGCTCCCAGATAAATAGAAATCGAGAAGCTTCTACCAACACGAATGGGTCAGTAAACCATTTTAATTGCGTTATCTTAGCAATGTAACGACGGATGAACAATCGGTGAAGAGATAATATTAGTTTCATCTCGAAGGAGAACATGAGATCTCACAATACTCGAAATCCAACGCGACATGGTGGTAGGACCTCTTGTGAGTCCGTACGGGTAATGCGTTTCGGTTTGAAGGGTGAGGCAGCCGTTGTAACTATACTGAGACCTTAGAACTTATATTTCAAGGTGGGTGGCGCATTTACGGTTGTAGACGTCTATGGGCTCCGGTAACCACTTAACACCAGGTGGGCTGTGAGCTCGTGCACCCATCTAAGCAATAAAAAAAAACCTCACGATTCTGTATAACTTGGTCCTCAGACAGTTCGTATTCGATGGTGGGCGATTTCTCGTCGCTCTTCTCGGGAGGTTCGGGCGTCTCCGTCGTGTCCGGCGACTGGTTCATCAGGAAGACGGACTTCAGGATGTTCCTGAGGTCGGCCGCGAAGTTCGTCTGCAGCTGATCCGCGACCCCCGCGATGCACACGAACAAACGGTGTATTAGATCTTCGCTCGATCTGTCATATGGAAAGGAAACTTTACTCCTTTTGGTCTTTTCAATATAAGTATATTTTTGAAGTTATACTTCTTTAGGCGTGTTATGACAAATTGATGAGAGTGCAATTTTACGATGCGCGCGCACCGTGACACAAAATTAACAGAATGAAGTTGCCCACTATATCGCTCATTACAATACGACCGACGTAACTTGGCGAGTCTGAATATAGCCGCAGGTGAACTTCCCGAACCGTACCGAGAATTACCGAATTTATAAGATGTCAAGAAAAGGCATGTCCAATATGCATGTTTGAGGATGTTGTTTAATCGATTTTTTTTTCAAATTGATTAAAATTTAAATAAAAAAAGAAATCAATTTAATAAAAATAAAGTATAACTTCTTACGCGCGTACATAAGTACACGCACCCTGTTTTTCGATCTCTATTTACTACTACGCCGGTAAGAGTAGCGCCATCTATCGTCGAATAGCCGAAACGAATATCGAAGTACAACGCCATTTGTTGTCAAATGGCGGAAACGCATATCGAAACCACTCGACTTGCCCCGAATATTCTCGATGAATCTAAGGATGTCGTCTCGACTATCGGCTAAAAGCATTGCAGATATGGCAAGAAGTCGGTCAGTAATCGGAACTACACGAAGCGAAATAGCGAACGGATTACCTGAAGCGAAGCGGAAGAAGTGAACTACGAATTTTAAAGTGATTGTGTTAATATGTACGTCGGTAGAATTTTTGTTCATCCCGAACCTCAGCGCGTAACAGTACTCAAACGAGGTATGGTATTAAGTATTATTGTATTTATGAAGGTTACTAACTTAAATTTTCCCCTTGCTTGTTGTCGAGCCGCCAGCTCCTGAGTCTGCAACGCGAGAGCTATCTGTTCATCGTCAGCGCATTCCGAACCAGCGCAGGAGGTGCCACTGAAAATTGTATATATTAACTATATTAAATTCACATGTCACTTATTTGGTATTGATGGCTGTTCGTTCGAGATTCATTTGCATTTTTATGTTAAAAAATTAATGAAAAAAAAAAATGGTTGTATTTTTGCTTCGACGAAAGAAGATGACGGTAGTATGACAAATTATCGTGACTTAAAGGATAAAACACTCGGTGTTCTCATAACAGAACGATGCGTCTGTGCCGGTGTTCAGCTCCCGAAGGCAATAATAAAGCTCTCATTTCTTCAAATTCATTCCGAACCTTTGCCTGATATTTATTTTGAAGAAATTTATGTTCATACATATAAAAAAAAATTAGAAATAATCGTGTTCATATGCTTATCGTATTCACAGTGATTATGACAACAATACTGAGCTTTGTTACTCAACAATTTATGAACAATATTGAATATTTTTTTCTGTCCTATTCTATTCCGATAGCTTTACAGTGCTTTATTCAAGTAGTCTAGTAGATAGTTTAGTTGATAGTCAAGTGGCTTTTAAGTTGTATATTTATTTACTGGTAGTAAGACCTGTTGTGAGTCACGCGGGTAGGTACCACCGCCCTGCCTATTTCTGCCGTGAAGCAGTAATGCGTTTCGGTTTGAAGGGTGGGGCAGCCGTTGTAACTATACTGAGACCTTACAACTTATATCTCAAGGTGCGTGGCGCATTTACGTTGTAGATGTCTATGGGCTCCAGTAACCACTTAACACCAGGTGGGCTGTGAGCTCGTCCACCCATCTAAGCAATAAAAAATAAAAACTAACCTCTCATCAACGAAATGGTCTAAATTCAGTCTTAAGGGACTCTGGCTCTGGTTGGAGCGATTATTCAGCCTTACAGCACCGGACGTCCAAATCTTCCCTTTACTTTTCTTTCCTGAACTCCTACTCTTTCTAACTCTAGAACTACTCTGTGATGGTCCTTCGTTTTCAAATAAAGAACTAATCTTCTTATCGCTCTCCCTGTGTCTTCTCAGTTCTGTGATTACTTCTTCTATTGTACTATATTCTACTTCGGAAGCGTTCGCCCCCCATTCTTGTAAAACTCGCCTCTCTTCAATCGAATCTGAACTCTCATCGCTTAACCTAACGTCGATATTCGAAGAGCAGGCTTCGTTCTTCTGCCCTTCTTCTTCGGCGTAATTAATATTAACAGTGTCGAAGGAACTTTCTTCGGGTATCAGGACCCGGTTCTGGAGGCTACCCTTGATTTCTTTACTCTGATCCGAATCCGGTGATCTGTCTAGACTAGTGTTCTCGGTGCTGACTCCCGAATCAACCGGCGACTCGTGTTCGCTCTCGTAGCCCAACATAAACTTAACTCTATCGTCTTCTGTATCTAAAGTCATTTTGGCTGAATGAAAGCTAGTACTGTCGTCGGCGCTTTCGTCCTGTCTAAACTCTTCTGTTAGTAACATACTTAGGTTAGCGTTCGCTTTACAAATATTAGTATTAACGATATCGGCGTCAATGTTCTCTGGAATTATTAACGGGAGATCAGTGTTCAGGGGGTCGTTTGCTTCGCTTGTTTCGTCGTTGAAGACCGCAGAGTTGTTGTGGGACAGCGACGACATGACCGCCGGCTCGTGGCTGATCGCGTTGGGTATGAGATACCCGTGACTCGTCGACGGCATGCAGCTCAGCTGCTCGTTCCTGGGTCCCGAATACCCGTACGCTTGCTCGTCGACCGATATCAGACCGGTAACGTCGTTCGTCGAGAAGGAATGCATTTGATCGACAATGTCCACGTCACTAGCGGCTATAGACGACAGTCTATCGGCTATTTCGGTGACTTGCTCGTTGAGTGACGTCACCAAATCGTGATCGGGTAGTTGTCGATTGACGTCATTGGACGTGGAAGCGGCCGCGTTGATCACCAGAGGATCGAACATCATGAGCCCGTTCGTCGATAGGTTCCTGAGCGAGGACAGGTCGCTGTTCTCCGTTTTGCTGGTCTTTCTAGATCTATCGATGTAGTCGGTTTGGAATGTGTCAGTGCTGGCCGTGTCGATAGAATGTCGAGTCTTCTCCTGGTCCGAGGGCTCGTCGTGGGTGTCCGCGAACTCGGTCAGGCGACGTAATCCGTCGATGATCGGTGTCATCACTTCGATGTTGTCGGGTAGATAGTCGGCGTCCGTTATCGTGGGTTCGCTTGAGCTGAAAATTCAAAATATATTTATTTTATTTATTTATTTATTTATGTACACACAGAAAACAAGACACAGTACAGAGTAATAGGAAAATTATGTACAAAGGCACTGCCGTGAAGCAGTAATGCGTTTCGGTTTGAAGGGTGGGGCAGCTGTTGTACTAAACTGAGACCTTAGAACTCATATCTCAAGGTAAGGGGCGGCATTTACGTTGAAGATGTCTATGGGCTCCGGTAGCCGCTTAGCACCAGGTGGATCGTAAGCTCGTTCACCCATCTAAGCAATAAGGGAAACCGTAGATATTACGTAATAAAACCCTCCACCTTCCTTGAAAAATGAACTCATGATCTGATTTATATATCACGACGGCCACACAATTGATTTATTATACGTTCAATTACATAAATAAGTAATCTGTAGGACCTGAGCAATATTCGATTTTAGTTGTTCTAGAGTGTTCGATTTTATAGCCATAGTATGACTGAGAATGTGCAAAGTCATTCTCAGTTTTGTAGAAACAAAAATAGACCTTATCGCCTTACCTTATCGCCTATTGTGGCTCTCGAACGCAATTCGATTTGATACTGTGGCTATAAAATCGAACACTCTAGAACCACTAAAACTGAATTGGAGAGCTCAAGTACCTTTGCGCGTAGAGGTCGCGGCAGTGAGCGTAGTCAGTGTAAAATCTTGAAACAAACTCTTCGATATCGGGGTACGGACACGATGAGTCTTCGGGTGTGTCTGAATCTGAAAAATAGAAAAAAAAAGATGTGTGATGTCGTGGGACACCGGATAGGAACGAAGTTCCTTATTATGAAAATATTAATTTTAAGTTCTATTCGAGGTATAAAGAAAATAAAACTGAAGGTTTCGCAACAACCCACGTTCATTTGGTAACGTGCGAACTTATTGTGGTACACTTCATTCACCGTTGTTTGCATAAGAGTTAGTGTATTGCGCAAACGAACGCTCTGAGATCGTAGTCAATGAATGATAAAAAAATATGTTATTTTCTGTACGTTATTACAAAATTAAGTCGTACACTGTGTGCATTACTAATAAAAATCTTACGTTACGGACGTTTTTTACCGGTTAGGGTACCCCTCCGCATCGTCCCATAAGGAACTTCGTTCGAAAAACAATTGAACGACTCTATCACGGTCATTAGCTTTGCATAACACGCTGAACGAGAGAGTGAATGAGAGAACGAGATCGGACATCACAACTGAAATACGACTATCCAGATGTCGAATCTAAATCTTTATTGTACTATAATATAATGGCTCTTCGACTGTTCAAGCTGAGACACAAAGCTGCTTCACGGAAGAAATCGGCAAGATAGTGGTGGCATTTACTTTTTTTTTTAGTGATTTTATGACCTGGTAACTAAGACCTTTAAGTCATGTCTTATTTTAATTTATATTCTTATTTTTATGAAAAATGATAATATGGAGTGAAATGAAATGAAAATGATTAATTTGAGACGTTAATCAACTGGGATGAAATTAAATGAAATGAGATGATATGGAATGAAATATAATCTTAGTAAAATGGTGGTCATTTACTAAGATTTTTTCAGTGGACTTTTTGGAGGATCCCGAGAAGTTGCGTCCAGCGGCTTTGTTTCATTTTCCCACATTTGTGCACTTTCACAGATATTAAACAGTTAATAAACCACCGTTATTACACATTTAAACCTGAAGAAACACTAAATAGACAAAATAAAACAAATCACACAACTTCACTCCTCGCGTTCCCGCCAAAAAGTCTGTGGCATTTACTCGTATGGCATTACCACAGGTCACTTTTATAGTAGGTCATCGACCTCATCTAGACTAGTAAGGATATATATAATTTAAGTATATTAATTAGTATGTATGTTTATTGGTATATAAAACAAATAGTTATTTCATATTATATGTAAACGGTATTTATCTATTTATAGTATGTATATATTTTCTATAATAATGTATTGTCAATAGTACACCGCAACATACCTACCTGCTATATTTTATATTTTCCAGAACTTCTGTAAAATAAACGATGGTTCGGAACATATCGCTTTTAGCGATAAAGACCGCGTATTGTACAAATGTATTTTTGACTGTTTTTTAATGTAAATTGTGTTTTGATGTGCAATAAGGTGTATTCTCTCTCTATAAGAATATCCATATAATATTATTTTTTCATTTGAACCTAATGTCTTATGATAATAGGCTTACTTCCATTCGAACAACAAAGTTTCTTTTAGTCTAAGAGTCGAGAAATTTGAAAGTTGCAAGAGAGATTATTTTTTTAAGGGATTTTATGACCTGGGTACTAAGACCTTTAAGTCATGTCTTATTTTTATTTATAATATTCTTATTTATAAGAAAAATGATAATATAGAGTGAAATAAAATGAAATGAAGATGACTAATTTGAGACATTAATCAACTGGGATGAAATTAAATTAAATGAGATGAGATGATATGGGATGAAATATAATCTCAGTAAAATGGTGGTCATTTACTGAGATTTTTTCAGTGGACTTTTTGAAGGATCCCGAGAAGTTACGTCCAGCGGCTTTGTTTCATTTTCCAACATTTGTGCACTTTCACAGATATTAAACAGTTAATAAACCACCTTTATTAGACATTTAAACCTCATTAAACATTAAATAGATAAAATAAAACAAATCACACAACTTCACCCCTCGCGTTCCCGCCAAAAAGTCCTAGGCATTTTAGTTTTATTTGTGAATATCAACATTATACAGGGTGTTAGATATCACTGAAATCTATAGTAACATTGTGTTCACATCAAAAGCTCTACATACTACAATTTCTATATAGGTTTTCTGTCGTGCCGTGGCACTCAGCTATGGCCGAAAAGTCTTGCCAGAGAGAAGAATGAAAATACAGAGTCAATACTCACTCAGAGGCGACGGTAGACCAAGCGCGGCCAGATTGGTTATGTCCTCGTTGGTGCAGAGCAACCGCTCGAGGGCCAACAGCTCGCGGCGGTCCAAGGTCCACAGCAACGACCTTATCTTGTTCAGCAGAGTACGGAACGGACGGAACATCACGGACATTTCTTCTGCAATATCAGTTAATAATTCAAGTTAATCTGTACGAAGAGAACGTGAACATATCTTGGTTATATATGTGGGATTGTAGGGCGAAAACTAGTCGATTTTAATAACAAAACCTTTATTACAAAAACAAAAAACAAAACTAAAAACTGTAAAGACGACATGCAAATTATAACAAAAAAAAAACCAATCTTCTCACATATACACAATATTATTATACATATTTACATATATATAACTTTTCGTTGTATTACTTTCAATTTCGAGATTTTTGTCAACTACTGCATAGTCGGTTGTACCCACAATTGAGGTGACATTTATTATGAACCTTCTAGTCGATTCACCGATACTCTACATAACATTTTGTTTGTTCAACTAACTAAATAAATCGCACCGTTGGGAGTAAAATAAGCGACATAACTAAAAATTTTAAGACAATGAGTTTTACATTTTGAACGACCTATGAACACATGTTTAACAACGGAGGGAAGATCTTCCACCGAGCGGGTGATATTGCTCGGTAGACCAACGGTCCGAATGTTGTTGTTCAAGCTGATCTTGAAAATGTCGTAAGCGAGATTCAGGCATCTCTCAAATCTTGTGTTGTATGATGGCTAACCACCACACTAATTTGACATTATAATGCCACGACTTTAAAGTATCCCAATAAAATGTTCTAGAGATAAAGCAGTGCTTTTTATTGCATAGACTGTGAATGTTATCACCCACCTGGAGTCCGAGTCTTATTAGTATTGTATTTATAACGTCCAACAGAACTTCCGTATTGTCTTACTATACGACTACTACTACTACTACTACTACTGCTTTCAATATGGTCACAAACACAATTCGTTTACCTGGTGGTTTGTTAATGCTCAGTGGCCCACTTGAGTATATGAGCAAGCCGCTAACGATTGCCAAACGCGGAACTGCGAACATCAGTGCCGGATCGTAAGAGTCCACCTAGAAAAATATAAAATTAGTTACATCCAGTGCTAAATTTAATTAGTCGAAACTTAAATTAGGCATTTTAGTTTTTTTAAGGGATTTTATGACCTGGTAACTAAGACCTTTAGGTCAAGTCTAATTTAGATTATATTTTTATTTTTATGAAAAATGATAATATGAAATGAAATGAGATGAGATGATATGGTATGAAATATAATCTCAATAAAATAGTGGTCATTTACTAAGACTTTTTCAGTGGACTTTTTGGAGGATCCCGAGAAGTTACGTTCAGCGGCTTTGTTTGATTTTCCCACACCTGTGCACTTTCACAGATACTAAGCAGTTAAGTAATAAAACACCGTTATTACACATTTAAACCTGAAGAAACACTAAATAGACAAAATAAAAAAAATCACAACTTTACTCCTAGCGTTCCCGCCAAAAATTCCTAAGCACTTTAATTTTAATTGTGAATATCAACATTATACAGGGTGTTAGATATGACTGAAATCTATAGTAACATTGTCTTCACATCAAGAGCTGAATAGAGATCCAGTTCTTGATGTGAAGACAAACTATGTATGTAGAGACATACTACAATTTCTATATCGTTTTTCTGTCGTGCCGTGGCACTCAGCTATGGCCAATCCCGGATGGAAAAAGAGGAGGGTTGGCGTCAATACGCCACCTATCCAGCCAACCCAAGCCAAGAAAACCTTTATGTATGAATAAGTTCTAAGTGCTCCGTAAAGGTCATTGGTAAAGTGGATGGAAGACGATCCAGAGGTCGGAGCCAAAAAAGATGGAGTGACCAAGTGTCTGGACACCAGACTGAGACAAGCACTTCACTGTGCCACTGACCGACATAAGTGGCTACAAATTACAAAAACGATCACAGGCGGGCGCACTACTATGCTCAGCAATGAGCGATCGACTGAAGGTGGAGGAAAGGTCACGACAATTAACACTGAGGAACATGATGCAATCAGGAGGATATCATTTTTCATCTCATAATTTTACGACGGTTTAACGAAACATTATATCAATCCTCAAAATTATTTCCCATAGCGTGGTACGGACATGTGATGCGTAGAGAGAAGATGCATGTGACTAGGAGATGTATGGAAATGGTAGTGCAAGGTAGAGAGGGAAGAGGTCGACCGAAGAAGACATAGATGGAGTGTGTGAATGCCGATATGAGAGAGAACGGAGTGTGAGTGTTGAGATGACGGCTGATAGAAGAGAATGGAAGAGAAAAATTAGCTGTGTCGACCCCACCTAGTGGGATAAGGTGGAGAAAAAGAAGAAAATTATTTCCCATAGATTTTTATGATGCGTTTATATAAGAATCGCTTAAAAATTGCAAGGCGTTCCATTCGTCCAATCGAAATAGATGTCCGACCTTATTGAGCTAAACATAAAAGTATTTCAATTTAGGACGTCGCCTGCTGAGTAGGCACGTGGGTCACGAGACCGTTGACCCCGCTAGTCAGCTGATTTTGTTTTGTCATACATCGTGTTCGATTTTCCGTAGCTGTTTTTATAATGTCACGAGTTTTTTAAACTATCTTGTTTGTTATGTTCATTACGGCATAATTTAGTTAATAATTGTGATTACTTACTAACTTAAATTGAAGAAAAACAAAAATACAACATTCGCAAACATATTTTTTTTATTTTTTTTCGCCACACATCTATATTGATCATCTATTAATACATGAAGCAAAAACTTTGTACTCCTTTTCACGAAAATTGCGCGGACTGAGGAATATGAAATTACCCACACTTATAGAGAATATAGTGAAGGAGTGCAGAATCCTAATATGTTTTCTTAAATATGCATTAATAATACATTAAATAAATAAAACAATTACACACACTACCATGTATTTGAAACACACACACATCCACACACATAATATATACTTTATGTTTATTGTCAAACTTTTGTTATTACTTAGTCTGTGGTCAAATTGAGAATAGGTTAATATTGTTTATCTTTAATATTATTTATCTATAGTGCAGTCTTGGCGAAATCAGTGGTTTTAGAAGTATAATAGTCTTTGACAATAGAACCCTTATACTGTTCAAAGTTATAATTTTAATTAAATATAGTCGAATTTCGACTACAGCGGGACCACTAGTTTTAATAAATAGCTTATCGCATGTTCCAGAAGGTTTTATACACTGGGTATATTTTTGACGTGTAATCATTAAATTGTTTTCGGATAAGTCATTCACCTACAACCCTTAAACAATTTTACCGATAGAATAATTATATCGATTCGTGGTGGCTAACAACAACACACCCCCAATCGTGTATTCCACTAAGTATTAGAGAAAACTCAACGTCTCCATGTGTATATTCTAAAAATAATTCATAATTACGATTCAGACAATTCTTAAGTTTAAATTAATTCATGTATAACATATTCATAAGTGGCTTGTGAACAAATTAACATACCGTTGAAAAGGTTAAGAGCGTTCTAAAATTAACGAAATTAACTAGTGACATTTCCACAGGTAACAAATTTTGACAGGTGACATTGAAGTTCCAAGTGACAATTAAAACTTTCTATTCATTAAAGAACACAAGACCTGGCTGTTAGGACTAAAGTCCTTTGCCTTTCCCGTCTATACATATAAATAAAATTGGAGTGTCTGTTTGTAATATTGAAATAGCCTCTTTTTACTACATGCATATGAATATATATACGGTACATAAGCCAAAATAACATTTTTTACAATTTTCGTCTGTCTGTCTGTCTGTTTGTTCCGGCTAATCTCTGGAACGGCTGGACCGATTTTGGTGATACTTTCACTAGTAGGTAGGTGATGATATAAAGAGTAGCTTAGGCTACTTTTTTAGACTAGCTTCGCCCCGCGGCGTCACTCACAGTTATTGTCGTACCGCGCGCAACATGGCGGGACTCACCTATCAATAATAAAATTTAATGTTTCCGAAGCGAAGCGAGGGCGGGTCGCTAGTTAGGGATAAATTAATATCATCATCATTTCTATTCATTAGCACACGCGATATTCTAACACGATCCTCACCTGCTCTTGAGCTAATAAGTTCTGTTTGAGGGCGCGACGAAGGCTCTCCGAGAACAGGACGCAAATCAGCTGCTGCGCTTCGAACTCTTGAGGAGTTTTGACGTTCACCATAGCGCTGACATAGCATAGTTCGAATTCAGCAAACAAACTGAAAAAAATTAGTTCATGTTTTTTTTTTTCGATCGCTTTTTTTTATTGCTCATATAGGCAGACGAGCACACGGCCCACCTGATGGTGAGTGGTTACCGTCGCCCATGGACTTCAGCAATGCCAGGGGCAGAGCCAAGCCGCTGCCTACCGCAAACCCAGAATCATAAAGCATAACGAACCCAGAATCATCAACTTTATTGTGATGATTGCTATACATTCTTAGAAAATGCATGAAGTGCCTTAAAAATCATAACCTGAGATTCTCAAAAATCTGTTCAAAAAATAAATTAATAAAGGCGTTCAGAATAACTATACTGAGACCTTAGAAGTCATATCTCAAGGTGGGTGGCAGCATTTACGTTGTAGATGTCTATGGGCACCAGTGACCACGTAACACAAGGTGGGCTGTGAGCTCGCCCACCCATCTAAGCAATAAAAAAACAAGAATCCTTACAGGTCCAGTGGTAGCGATTTTTTTTCGATATAACCTAAAATCGGAAACTATTGAAACTCTGTGCCTTCACGTCACCTGCAATAATAGCCGAGACACGGCAAGATCATCTTCTGCTTCCCGACTACTAAAATACTACTTCTAAAATATTTCCTTTTTTATATCTATATTAGGGTGGGCCAAAAAAACTAATTTTTTTTCTTTTGGTACAACGAAAATATCGTCCGAGACGACAAAAAAATATTCGGGTAAGCTTTGAGCTCTTAATATTAATATAATGCCGCATCGTGATTTTTGATTTTCCATTTGAACAAAACGGGATTTTTTCTTTTTTTCTTTGGAATCATATTGTATTATATCTCAACGAATTATCGTGTAGTAAAAAGAAATGTTTTTTTAATATACAAATGCTTAAAAAATACGATGATGACATAAGCCAGGCACGTTAATGTATATAAATAATTACTTACCGATCAAAAATTCTCAGGCTTTCGTGGAGCATGTCATCGTGCTGCGACAAAGCCAGCCCTCGGGGACGAAGGCACTGCTCCCGCAGCAAAGACCTCACGGTCTCTAAGCTCCGGGTCAAAGCTTTGGCTAGGGGGCGCATCGATGCCGATTCTTCTTCGCGATTCATTATTGACGAACCAGCGGCGAGACACTGAAGAAATCGGTACAGAATAATTAGATCCATTATTTGATCTCCGTAAAGTTGGCAGTTAAGTTGGCATTGCTGACGTCCACGAGTGACGGTAACCACTGCGTAAACAGGCTATAAAAACAGTTAATAGTTTTTTGTTTATTTATTTTATAGATGTTAAAGTTAATTGGTGGTAGGAGGTCTTGTGAGTCCGCACGTGTAGGTACCACCAACCCGCCTATTTCTGTCGTGAAGCAGTAATGCGTTTCGGTTTGAAGGATGGGGCAGCCGTTGTGACTATACTGAGACCTTAGAACTTATATCTCAAGGCGGGTGGCGCATTTACGTTGTTGATGTCTATGGGCTCCAGTAACCACTTAACACCAGGTGGGCTGTGAGCTCGTTCACCCATCTAAGCAATAAAAAAATAAAAACTTTCACTGGTAGTAGCTGGGTGTGTTGAGAGAGAGAGGTTTATTAGAGCAACTCTTTAAATGGAATGCGGAGGGTTCAATCTCAATTATTCGTATTGAAGGGCTAGTGTAGAGCCCACCCAATGTGCTAAATTTAAAAGCCTCACTTTCCAAGTAACCAGGACGATTACGGAATACGCTTACAGTGGAATGGAACCGTTCGACTTAAATTATTATTCATCATTGTTGCGGGTTCGAGAATCGGACCGAAATCTCAATACTCGTGCATGACCCAGAGATCAAGAGAGTATGTTTAGAATATCTCATCTAGCCATATCCTGAGTCTCAGTTTAGTGTGCACCGATACCTTTATAGTAAGTATAACAGAACAGACTTCAGTATGAGGTGAATGACGATATACGCGTTGTGTCTTACCACACTAACACACACACACCATTTGTTGTTACCACACCATTGTTACCACAATAACAAGTTATTACTATGAGGAAGCTTGCCTCTAATACTATAAACGTTACGAATAGTTATATTATTAGGTACATCATGCTTGCCGTGTAAATATTTTATAAGAAAAAATCTCCACCTAACAACGGGTGTGTATTGATTAGATACAAGAGGCCTATGGGCATCAAAATGGACTGCACGTGTCGATTAGATAAGACACGCAGAAACACATTTGATTTTATGACAATATAAGTTAGCTATTATTAAAAACCAATCCAGTATCAACAAACGGTAGAACCGCAAAGTTTATTTATTTAATTATAGTTTTCCGTGTCATTGACATCGCATCACCGATATTACGATATTGACACATTTTGCGGTGGTGTGAAAATAATGAACTTAACAAAACGGTCGTCGTTCTCGTCGAACCCGAAGGGCTCGGCGAGTGAATTAACCCACAGACACAACCCACTGAGTTTCTCGCCGGATCTTCTAAGTGGGTCGCGTTTCCGATCCGGTGGTAGATTCTACGAAACACGACTCTTTTTTTTTATTGCTTAGATGGATGGACGAGCTCACGGCCCACCTGATGTTAAGTGGTTACTGGAGCCCATAGACATCTACAACGTAAATGTGCCACCCACCTCGAGATATAAGTTCTAAGGTCTCAGTATAGTTGCAACGGCTACCCCACCCTTCAAACCGAAACGCATTACTGCTTCACGGCAGAAATAGGCGGGGTGGTGGTACCTACCCATGCGGACTCACAAGAGGTCCTACCAACAGTAATTACGCAAATTATAATTTTGCGGGTTCGATTTTTATGACACGATGCTATTCCTTCACCGTGAAAGTCAATCGTGAACATTTGTTGAGTACGTATTTCATTAGAAAAATTGGTACCCGCCTGCGGGATTCGAACACCGGTGCGTCGCGTCATACGAATGCACCGGACGTCTTATCCTTTAGGCCACGACGACTCTTGCTAGGGTCTAACAACAACGTCAGTTTTGAGCCCCGCGAGCTCACCCACTCGTCCGGTGACGCTGATATGGTCTCACAAGACCATCAGCTTATGTAGGGAAAAAAAACTGAATAATGAAATTAAAAAAACTTCATTCATTTCGTACCAAAATTAAACACGAATATAAAATAAGTATAAATTAACCTATATCTTGGGTAGGTACATGAGCAATGAATACTGTTATCGTTTTATTAGTACGAACCAAACAAAAAAATCTTCCGCATCAATGAAGATATGTACACTACCAAAGGACACTTGCCGTTTGCGACAAAGAAAACAGACCGATAAAAAATTTAATAAGAATTCACTAATACAAAGAATGACTCACATTGTGGAAGAAAAAAGTCATTTTTCTTGGTTCGAACGAAACTGCGTAGTTAGTTATAATTGGTCCCAGTTCGTTCGTACTCAAAGCTTAATTTGAATGAAACATAAATACATTTAAATTCATGATACCCCATTTTTATGAATATCCGATTAGGTGTTTCGTGTTAAGTCTTTGAACCGAAAAAAGAAAAAGAAATTTCTGGTTCCAATATTAAGTTTCGTTATTGTCAAAGTTCAAGGCTTTATTAAGCTTGGTGCGATCTTTTTGCAGGAAAACCGTGACATGTCAACCGTGACCTTACATTTCCTTTCCCATTGTTATAAATATTTAACTGTTCAAAGTAGATCACGCTTTAATATTTTAGTTAAGCAAAAATGTAACTGAATTTATTTAGTACATGATACCATAGTAGTAGGCTTTAGGTAAAAAAAAACCTCACGGTTATTGATCTAGATTTCTACGAGTATTTGCTGCCGATAGCTCATTACAAAGATCGAATGCAAACCGCCCAAATACTTTTTTTTTAAGAATATTAGAATTGAAAAAACTATCTTGGTTCAGCTTCTTAGATTCTGGCTGTAAATCTCCTGAGAAATCCCTAAAAACTCAATTAAAAGACAATTTTTTTTATGCTTCTTAGATTCTGCCTGTAAATCTCCTGAGAAATCCTTAAAAAATTCAATTAAAAAAGTTTTTTTTTTTGTAAAGTACCTCAGCGCCAAACCAAAGCTGCCCAGCTAAGTTGTCTTGCAGAACATCCTCTGGGAACTTGACTCGGAAGCCGCGCGCCACCCTTTCGTCGCCCAGAACTTGATCCATGATCTGACTAGTGATGTTCAAGACGCGATCCTAGAAAGAAAATGTGACTTTAGTAACTTTTTTTTTAATAGAAACATTTATACGAAATAAATAATAGTTAAACAAAATCTAACAAAATACGCTTTTATAGAAAATCCAACTAAGAAATAGAAAATAAATTTGAATTAAAAATAGTGTAAGAAAAAAGTATTTTATTGTAAAAAAGCGTGGGGTGCATGGTATCACTAGTTATAAATATTTTATGAACAGATATGAGTAGAAGGGTTATTTTGATAATATCCTGAAAAGCACCCCACGTTTTTTTACAATAAAATTCTATAAAAGCGTTTATTGTTAGTTTTTTTAAACTATTACTTATTTTTCATTCTTTAGTTGAATTTCAATTTTTATTTTTTTTTATTTTTTTATTGTCATCGTTCCTTAATAAGTATACCAAATTTCGAGTTAATCCGACGTTTTGAAGGGGCTCAAAATCATGTTTAAAGACAACGTTACAAACATACATACATACGTCTTAAGCTAATAAAAGCGTATTAATAATCCGTGTTAAAATTGTGAATTATATCGGTCAATATTTTGGTGGCCATGATTTGAGTTCGCGGAAGTGTAACAATTCCACGCAATCATAATCCCTTTCGCATGATTATAAAATAGTACTTATGTAATTTTAGCGAACTTAGTCGATAATAACATGAAGCCTTATTTATCTTGACAACACCCTTTTCACGTCGTATAATAATATCTCTTAACTCTTAGCGATAAGAACGCCCATTGTCATAATACTTTATGCGTTTAATATTTTGCATTTATTTCGTTTTTTTATAGGTGTACAAGTATCAAGCGTACTCAATCTTCAGTCAGCAGTTTACTCAGATAATATTTGTATTATATACTAGCAGCCCGCCCCGGCTCTGCTCGGGTCTTTAACAAAAACTTCCACGATATTTGAAGCTGTTTCATTTTTTTAAATTACTTTAAAACTGTGTTCTACAGTCTTAGTACATTATTTTATTCTATCATCAATAGTTTTCGCAGCGCACCTTGGGTTACATTATTGGAGTTTTAGTAAGGATCCCTAATATTTTCAAAAAAGATTATGAGTCGTCTATTATCAAAGGCGGCAATCTGTACATTTGGACAAAAAATTTTTATTGATATGTCAATACAGATTTATTTGAATATAATCGTCTCCTTCAAAGAATACGGTTCAAAACCTGCATTAAATAAAGGTTAATAGTTAACCTGTTATTTATCTAAGATGTCGTTCCGAAGAGTTTTGTGACTGCCGATGGAATACAAAGTCAATAATTNAGATTTATTTGAATATAATCGTCTCCTTCAAAGAATACGGTTCAAAACCTGCATTAAATAAAGGTTAATAGTTAACCTGTTATTTATCTAAGATGTCGTTCCGAAGAGTTTTGTGACTGCCGATGGAATACAAAGTCAATAATTCGTTTTTCTGATTTACCAATCATTGTCCAAAAGTCAGATTGCCGCCTTTGATAATAGTCGACTCTTATAGCCTATGTCACTTGGGAATAGTGTAGCTTCGATACAGTAAAATAATTTTTCAAATCGGTCCAGTAGTTTCGGAGACTATTCAATACAAACAAACAAATCTTTCCTCTTTATAATATTAGTATAGATATAGATTTAATTTGAAATATACATTATGTAGATGTATACATTTTTAATTCGATGTGCAAAGATTTATTTATAATATTTCAATTACATAGTTATATAGTATTTAAACAAGGTATTTTCAGCGGCTGAGCTCACGATGACGCAACTGGTGGTAGGTACAGTGATTACTAGAACCTATGACCATCACACAACGTGAATATCACCACCCACTTTGAGAGGCCAGTTTTATTATTCATCGGTTTAGAAGACAATCGACTAATTCTAAAATTAAGAAACTAATCAACAAGAAAACTAACAATATTTTTTTAATTTCTAGACGGCTTTATTAGGATTATTCCTTTGATAATCTCACGGCCCACCTGGCCTTAACTGTGTATACCGGAGCCCATAGATATCAACAACGTGAATGTCGCCACCCACCTTCAGACATGAGTTCTAAGGTCTCAGTTGTAACAGTACGACGGCTGCCTTACCCTTCAAACCGAAACACATTACTGCTTCACGGCAGCAATAAGCAGGGCGGCACGTACCCTTGCCTACTCACAAACCACTCTAATACTTTTTTTTTTTATTGCTTAGATGGGTGGACGAGCTCACAGCCCACCTGGTGTTAAGTGGTTACTGGAGCCCATAGACATCCACAACGTAAATGCGCCACCCACCTTGAGATACAAGTTCTAAGGTCTCAAGTATAGTTACAACGGCTGCCCCACCCTTCAAACCGAAACGCATTACTGCTTCACGGCAGAAATAGGCAGGTTGGTGGTACCCACCCGCGCGGACTCACAAGAGGTCCTACCACCAGTAATTACGCAAATTATAATTTTGCGGGTTTCATTTTTATTACACGATGTTATTCCTTCACCGTGGAAGTCAATCGTGAACATTTGCTGAGCACGTATTTCGTAGGTACGTACCCTTGCCTACTCACAAACCACTCTACTACTGGTAAAACGATATGACCATTATTTTTTATGAGCATCAATTTATTACTCTTACACTTTTTATAGAATAACAAACACATAACGAGGTTAAAAATTAATCATCCGACTATTTTTACAAGAGTTATTCATCGATTCTACAGTACACATGTAGTTTAGTGATTGCATTATTTACACAGAACTGTGCCCATACAACGATTGTATTTTATAATAATATTTGATATTGTTACATTACAATAAATTAACAATTTTTTTTAGCTTCGTAACAGATTGATCTTTTTTTTTTTTTTAACACTGGGGTATCCATTTACGGATACCCGGTCGAGAGGGGTAATAGACCGGGTTATGTCGGACTCAGTCGCCTCCAGAGAAGAAGAGGGAGAAGAGGAAGACGAAAGTCCTCCTCTTCTTCCAATTCCTACCGGGAGACTACGCCTTGAGAAAGGCGCGCGAGACGCTGCGCGGGGTGTACCACGCAGGACCCGCCCCGCAAAACCGACTACCGACTAAACCCCATCGAGCTCCACCACTCCGACTCCACGAAACCTACGGTACCGCACAATGCGCGCCATTGTAACAGATTGACCTACGTACTAGTTTCAAAGAATCGTTTTCCTTTCTGTAATAACTAGCATGTAAATGAATGTGTGCATCGCATTCGTGGATTAGAATTGATTAATGTCGATTATCATTACTCTATCTCGACCAGAATCACCCTCATTATCACTTGTAATAGCTATCGATTTTTTTTTTGTACGATATAATATGACTCATCCATCAAACCCAACGATACCGAAAACAGCTTCACAAATTTTAATGTCAACCAATTAAAGTTGATAACCTATGTTTCGATGCTATTCGTAAATTAATAAGAAATGGTTTTCCTCGTTGCTTACCACTTTATTTCGTACTATTTAAAGTTTAATTTTCTTTAACATTTTGCAAATGTTCGTCAGTGTACACGATCGACAATCTACTAGCAATCGTACCTACTTGACTTTATTGTGGTTTCATTTATCAACTGAAGGCTTTAACCTAAACTAGATCGCATAAAAATCATGTTTGATCCGATATTTGGTAGTATGGAAGTAAACGACAAAGGGAAGACATTCCACCTAGATGGTGAAATTGCTCGCTAGACCGACGATCCGAATGTGGATGTTCGGAACTTGTATACACGGAATAGATAAATAAGGTTGGAAAGGCCTTTGCTCTAATTTTATATTAGGACCAGTGTCACCGCTTCACCGCCACTATTTTAATTTCTACACATACACAAACCATCACGGAATATATAAATAAGGTCTTGTATATATGCAAGCTTTAGTTGAAAATATTGTTAGCGAGATTCAGGCATCTATCAAAGATCTTGTGTTCTATAATAACTACCCGCCACATTAGGTTTAAATTTAAGGATTTTTACTAAACTAGTCATATTTCAAAAAATGTTATTTTAAATTATAGTTACCTACTATTTAAAAACGATTATAATATAATATTATCGTAGAAAAATTTACATAATCTTACGCCTCAAACGTATGTATGCATTGTTTTGTATCGGATACTATATTATTTGCGGTATCTTGCTCTGTTCCATTAATATTATAATTAAACTTTTTCTGTACAGTATTTTTTCAACTCACGCCACGTAAATAAATCTACGTCACTAAAATGATGCGTTAATTTTTTCATTTATGTGAGTCAAGAGGCGGCTTTAAATACATTCACTCGTCAACAAGAGTCCATTCAAAACAGAATTACGAATGACACAACGATAAGTATCATCTAATGAGGGCGACAAATGAATCTCTAGTTTAATAATACCGTGACCCAATAAACAAATCTACGAATCTTTGTTGAGACATCACAACAATCGCCGAAATCCACAGTCGAAAGCTAATAATAATAATAATAACAATAAAAAATTCATTTATTTATCAGATAATAATAATCCATGATTTAAAAAAAAAAGAAAATAAAATAACATGAATAATATAATTTCTCAGCATTACTTACAAATTCGACTTTATATATATTTACCAAAGAGGTTATTATTATTTTGGTTAGTCCGCAAGTGAACCATGGTGCAATGGTTCAAGTACTGACAGTCATAACAGTCTGCTAATGGCTTCAGGATGGTGTTAGAGCTGACCCGGACCCGGCGAATTAAATTTTTTTTTATTGGCCTTGTAGGCAGACGACCATATGGCCCACCTGGTGGTGAGTGGTTACCGTCGCCCATGGACTTCAGCAATGCCAGGGGCAGAGCCAAGCCGATGCCTACCGCTTAATACTATCCACAAGCCTCTTTTAAAGAAGGACATGTCATAGCGCTCGGGAAACACCGTGGAGGGGAGCTCATTCCATAGCCGGATGGTACGTGGCAAAAAAAGACCTCCGGAAACGCACTGTCGATGAACGCAGCAGTTCCAGATAATATGG